CTGTGCATGGTTTCTGCAAAGGAAACCCACACAGGTTCGGATTGTTGAGAAACGCAGTGGGGCCCTGGTTCGAAAACGACCCAGTCTGGGGAATCTCGCCGTTCAAATCATTGTTCCGGAGATCGAAACTCACCGTAACAGGCAAATTCCCAAGAGATTTAGGAATTTTACCAGACAAGTGATTGAACGAAAGGTTTAAGGTTCCAGTTAGTGTTTTAAGCTCCCCGAGTTCGTCCGGGATCGAACCTTCCAGAAGGTTCGATGACAGGTCGAGCTGGACAAGGTTTTTCAGCTCTGGCCAGGGACTCGCCGGAATCACGCCGGAGAATTTGTTGCGGGCTAGTATTAGCCGCTGGAGCTGGGAACAATTTCGGAGCGTGTCGGGCACTGCGCCGGAGAGGGCGTTATCGGAGAGGTCGAGGTTTTCGAGGCGAGGGAGGGTGCAGACAGAGGGAGGGAGGGTGCCCGAGAGGTTGTTACCGTGGAGGAAGACGCTGTGGAGAGCGGTAGCGTTGAATAGCTGCGCCGGGATGGCGCCGCGGAGGGCGTTGGTGTGGAGGTTGAGGCGACGGAGGTAGAGCAGCGTGCCGAGTTCCGACGGGAGGTAGCCACGGAGGCCCCTGCCGGAGATCGTGACGCCGATGACGCGCGGCTCCAGCTGGCCGGAGATGTTGGCGCACGTGATGCCGGACCACCGACAAGGGGTGGCGTCGGCGTCGTTCCAGTTGGAGAAGGCGGCAGCGGAGAAGGTGTCCACCGCCGATTTTAGAGTGAGAAGCGCGATGCCGTCAGAGGAGAGAGCAAAGACGGGGCGAAAGAAGAAGAGGAGAAAGATGAAGAGTGTAACGGTCATTTAGAATGCGTTATACGGCACCGTTCTGGAAGAGAAAGAAATTGGTACGGAGCTTTGAGTACAGTGTTGGAGAGTGGAAATGCAGAAGAAAGTTTTTTTTTTTTGGTGAGGCTTAAGAAAGAAAGCAAGTATTGTATTTATGAGAGAAATGGGAGAAGAGGACGAGATTTTAATTTGGTGGGGTCCAACTCCCGCCAAAAAGATAGAGAATGAGATCACAGAAGAAATAGCACAGTGAAGTGAAGTGAAAGAGAAGCAATTGCTATTTGGGAGAAGACGAAGAATCTTGTTTCATCCATTTGGGTACAACTTCAGATTGGATCATTGGATTTGGAATTTGTTTGAGTTGCTCATGTTGTTGTTGAAATGTAGTTCATCATTGTGGTATAGTTGAAATCGTGAGCTTTCAATGCTTTTTTTTTAAAACTGTATAACAACAAAGAAAGACAAGTTTTTATTCTCACGAAACTTGGTGCATGTGAAACATTAATTCTTTCAAAGTTCTTATTTGTTTCTATTGTTTCCTTTGTGGACTTTTTTTTAAGGATTTTGTCAACTTTAGTTGGATATAATCAAATACTAATAACATTACACCATTTGAATCCATGACCAATTTATCTATTTCAACTTTCAACAAAGTCAACTTTTCTTGCTTATTCATATTTGACCTGTTTCACTTTTAATAATTTAGTGTTTTTAAATTTCATTTAAGTGGCGAAATTGAACTGAAATTCAAATACAATGTTAGTGATTATTTCAATTAAGTGAAGTTTTATTTCTAAGGTTTTTACTTTTATAAACGGAAGAAATAAATGTTACTAGTAATGATGGATCAGATGCATTGGCAAAACTAAAGGACTTAAACCAAACGCCACTCAAACATTCATAATGGCAGGTTAGCTCCTGCATTGAAGATTAAAACATTTCTTTGTACGTCACATTTATTTTCAATTTCTCTTAATTGGGTACAACCGAAATGCCCATTTTGCCATGATTATTTATTCTTTGAATGAAACTATACGTGATTATTGCATCTACTTCTCAATCATGCAAAAGAAACTTACAAGCTACAACATATAGCCACACGAACTATAATGCAATTTGTTTTCAGTATTTCTTGTGCGTATACTTTCAGGAATGATTTGTATCGGCAAAAGATAGAAGAACTTTATGCATGCCCAATGATATCTTCCCCTGTTTCAGAAGAAGACAGCTTATATTCGCACACACAGAATAATTAACACTTTTAAGGAAGAAAATAAATTAATAAAAAGCTTTGCTTTATAGTCAAGGGAAATAGTTGGTACCAAATGGCTTCCAACTACACAAAACCAGCAAATTAACTCAAACAGTTATTAGATCAGGAACATAGGTCCCGCACCCTAATAAATGAACTCAAGAAAATGCTACATTTGTTCTGTCATGAAATCCAATATTTCTGGAGTATTCCATTCATTCATCTCTGAGAGCTTCGCCTTTCATTCAAACATGAACGAAACCAAAATTAAAAGCAAGTGTTTTGATGTGAAGAAAAATCATGTGAACTCTCAAGTGATATAGATGCAGTCTTATTGCTGAAATAAATCCAGGGCCAAAAAAAGACTCAGGTTTATTGTCTTGGTATGTATAATATATTGCCATAAACAACTTTGCCTAAGGAACAAGACATTAATCTGTTGAGAAAAGGTCAACGTGCCACTTGATGCGTACATGAGTTATTAATGCACCATGTGCACCTAGCATATGTAACTCAAGTTGGTTTCAGACATCTCACTTTTCATTTTCCAATTCCGCCCCCAACCCAATTCCTATATTTGATGACCACCTTTACTCCTTGGGATTTTTTTTTTTAAATCCATCCTGAACAAGAAATTCACCAGTTTTCTTATCTACAAAAGGAAAAATGGTTTTCGTTGAATCTTTGGTATCGAACCATCTTAATTTCCAAAATTTGTGCTACTTGAAAAGTGTCACCTAATTATACCAAAAATTAAAGAAATTACTCACTACTTAACAAATTGCATTCATAGTGATGCCGTATGGGACATCAAAGTCATCATAATATTGGGGATTGGGGAATGGATGATAAAGTGTGTTGAATGAGTACGAGTGAACGTATTCCCTGTGGTTCATTTCAATCTCAACAAGGAGGCAAAGTCTCCCATAAGAATGGAACAGAAAAGATTAATCCTATTTGGGGCTTTTTTACTTTTCTTTTAAAGTCGATGCATACATAATACACAGCACAACGCAAGGCTTGATTTATTAGCCAAAAGAACTGGCCATAAAACTTGTGAATAGATCATGTGAAAATATTTCCTTATTTGATCACAAACTAAAACCCATTTTTCCATACGGGAACTACTACAAAAAAAAAAATACAGCGGCCTGAATGTACAGCTTCAAATTATTAGGTAACCAATCTTACAGTATATCATATTAAACTTTATCCTGCCACATAAGTAAAGAAATAATATCCAAATACAAAGTAAAGGAGGGAATAAGTTCCGTTTAAGGCTAGAACCAATTTGTGGCTCAGATTTCCATATATTCTCAAGTATCTTTCCAACAAAACAACAGTTTAGCCAGCCTTCTACCTACGATACCTACAGAAGATCTGTTCTTTTGTAGTTTTAAACGCTTGCATAAAATAATTAAATCATACCCATACAATTTAACCCTACTTGAATCTAGGTGATCTTACCCAACTCCATCCACACCAATTCCCCTCCTCATGTGCTTTGTTCTACGTACGAAAAAGTGAGCCCTTTTGGTCAAGTAAAAAGTTGACACTGGCTACCTTTTCATGTTGTGCTAGGTCTTGGAACCTCTCACTTCAGTGATGATGTCGTTCTCTTTTTCTTTTAATAAGACTAAAAATGTACTATATAACAATTCTGTCAAGTTTCTGGATTAAAAGTTCATTTTTGAGAAATCTAAGACTTTGTGCTTACTTACTGTCTCAAGGAGAAAAGATAATTTCACCAATATTTCATCAATCAGAAAGGTTAATGTTGGAAAATATCAGAGACTCTCTCTACTATGAGGAGTAGAGTTTGAAAGAGAGTCCTTAATCCAATGGAGAGAATATGAAATGATGCCTTCTAAAGGGCTAAGTTTTTTAATAGAGAGGGCATAATTCGTCCAGTAAAGTAGGTAATATTCTCTATTCCTATATGCACTATGCAAACTAAAAGAGTGCCCGAGTGTATGAAAGATAGACCAAGTCGTTTTATGAGTGAGCATTTTATAAGTTTGAGGAAAGCTTCCCGCGTACTCTATACACAGACACTTTTTGTAACTATTTCCTCATATGCACTGATATGATACATATCGAATACGGTCATACTATTGTTTTAAAACTATATTAGAAAAAAAAACATGAAAGATAAACATATAATATAGGTATGCATTAAAATCCATAGTAAATATATAATTGCAATACTACAAATGCAAACAAATAGCATACTTCTTAGGCTATACTAAAAAGAAAATGAAAATTATAAATCACTTCCTATTGTCCACAATATCACTCCTTCATTAAAATATCTATTAAGAATACCATTTCCATTTTTGTATACCAAGAGTACAGTCAAAATAGGCTTGGTCCAAGGGGCCAGCCAGCTTGATACAAATATTTTAGGTGGCCCATCGGGCCAGTTAGACAACTCTAACCAAGAGACAAATGCTTCTATGTTTTCATGTCTCATTGAGGTTCTATTGGATTTTCACAACTTCTTTAAAGACTTGGAGGATACTTAACAAATATGTATTGGTGAAAGTATCCAAAGCACTAAAATCATTTACAGATATATGAAGCAAATTAAAGGTATCAGTGTTTCATAGATTTCCTCAACAGTTTACCACTAACATGTTTTGTACGCCCATGATATTACCATTGGATGATGCAGATGTTTACCAAAATAGCAAGGAGAAAACAGAAAAACAACAACTATACTAGGAAGTAAGAAATTTTTCTTTATTGTTTGAGTTGAGGAAGGGGAGGGAAGGTGAAAAGGCCCGTGTCCACTACATAATTAAACACATTCATGATTCATCAAAAATATATCTCTCGTATGTTTCTATTAAAAATGATCTCATGAATTTATATAGACTAAAGATTTGAGGGATGGCAAGAATCAGAAGCTTGGTATAATAGTTTATAGAAATAATTAAAGTAAGAATAGTACAAAACGGACAAAAAGTAAACAGGGAACCTGTAGAAACATGTGATGCTAACATGTCCACAACAGTATCACCTTCCAAAGTATGGGGAACAATAGAAATACTTAACAGCAAACAATCCTGAATTCAGAAGGTCAATTAAATTCATACATTTAGACCTTGAGTCAATTTATGAAGCATGTGCTTCAGAGCTGGAGCTGACATTATGAAACATTGGGGTGGAGGGTGGAACATATATCCGTGCCTTCTTAAGAATTTCAGCAACAACCCAATGTTTATGCTTGCTCAATGGCCTAGAAGGATTTAGTCGAACCTAAATAACAGGGCAAAATCAATAGATGTAGCTTTTGGGCAAAACAAGTGCACTAATTAATTGATGAGAATAAGGGGCACAATATAAGTGATGAACCAATTAGATGGATAATGTTACTAACTTTGTCACCAATGTTACAGAGGTTGTTCTCATCATGAGCCATGAATTTGGAGGTACGCTTGACATATCGATCATACACCTTGTGGTAGAATAGTCTATCCACTGCCACCACAACAGATTTCTGCATCTTATTGGAAACTACCATTCCTACTACCTGCTTCATTTTCTCCTACCAACCTGAAACACACCACTTAAATCTTTTTAAAATGAATAACATTAATAACTCATTTGAACTTCATGGGCTGGAAACCAGGGATGTACACAAGCAAATGTTCGTCCAAAACTCGCAAAATTTAAATCCCTATAGATGGTACTCAAATATAGCTCCCAGCAGCCAAATTTGATCCTTTAGTCCTCACCAACAAGACAGATGAAGGACACAGTACACAAAATTGCAAACTCAGTACGTATTTCGCAAGAACAAGACCTTGGACACCACCAGACAGAGGAAAAACACTGACCAACTACACATGATTTGTAGAAGCTCTTACAGACAAAATTGTTTTCTATTTCCTTTTTATAAATTTACCTATAATTGGAAATGATATCTTATTTTAGCTTTATTTTCTGTTTTGAAAATAACTATATTTATTTAGGGTCCATTTTGATAAACACCTTACTTAAGGACTTCGGCAACAAGTGTATGTTTAGATAAATTTCTCTGTAAGTACTTAAAGAAAATAAATAAAAGGAAAAAAACGAGAACAGTTTCTTCAAAAACTACAATTAGCCCATATCTATATAAATTTGTAGAATCCCTCTCCTATTAACTTCTTAAAGGTGTTTATAAAAAGTTTATCCCAACAGACCCTGTGTGCTTATTTCATATGTACTAGTGTACACGTTGTTTATATAATTGACGACAAAATATGATTAAACTAATTTCCATATATGCAATAAGTTGTTTACATGAGGTACAATACACTTTAGAAAAAAACAAATTAGAAACAGCTGACAGTCATAACTCATAAGTTCTCTCAAGAAATTTGCTTTGATGTTGTTTTATGGATCACAAAAATAAAGGAACAAAGAGACTGCAAGAATCCAACTAACAGTGTCTCCTGAAGAACACTCCTAAGGCATCAAATGTCACAGAAATATTGGGAGAAAATAACTAGTGCATAAATGTTTATGTGAAAAAGTCCAAAACAACTAGTACACGCATACAAACTCTTAAAACTTAACCTTACTCGTACAATCTTTTGAAAATATAAAACAAAAATAAATAATACAGTCGCATTTTTTACAATTACAATATAAACAATAAATGAAATCAAAAAAGTGATTTTATGAAAAAGAGAAGCACATGAATCTCGGTGATTATCTCAATCAGGTAACTTTAACAGTAACCCTCACTCCGATATCAATGTTGAAAGGAGGTGAAGGATATCACCCAGCCTGATAGTTTAGTTCAGTTCCACACAAATAAAAACCTCAAAAAATAAAATCGCACAAAAATTGGGAGAAATTGCAGGATTAACGAACCTTGAACAAATAGAAAGCAACGAGCAGTAATGAAATAATTCCCAAACGAGGAAACGGAGTCTATTTCAGAGAAAATTTTCTTGGCGCTTTCCGTTTCGCTGAACGGTGGCGGCGACTGGAGGAGGCGGTGGAGCTGCGGCAGACCCGCTTCCACTCAACGAAATGATAAACAAGGGGAGTGAGAAGTATGCGATTGGACCTACGAGGCTTAAACCCTTTGTATGGCAAATCCAACGAAAAATTAATCTATAAAATTAAAAACAAAAAAGTATTCTAATTTTTAAAATTATCAATTATAATTCTCTTTAGTCCATTTGTTTTCTTTTTTTTAAACAGGTATATAAAAGTTGTGACTCCATGACTAAATGGGATCCAAATATTTCTGTAATAATAAAGTTGTGAAAACTACACAGGTTCATAATAAGAAATTCAAGATATTTAAGCTTCCAAAAATATTTATTTCATATTTGAAAGTATTTATTATTTTAGTAACATTAATAAAATATGATAAATACAACATAAGATTGAATGCTAATTTTTTTTTTATAATTGTATCTGAAATATAGTTTAATTTGAAAAAACCGAATTACATTCTGAAATCTGATTTTATTGCTTTATTTAAGAGTACATAGGTAATATAATATAATTACTTAGTTGAAGTAAAATTTTAAATGCGAAGCATTTCAAGTGATGGATATAGGTATTCTTTGACACTGTGTACAATTTTTATATATCATTTGTACATCTTTAAAGATGATAGGCCAATACAATCCACGATACAACATCTTCCTATTTGTTCTTTATATGTCTTGGTGTCCACTAAAATGTGATGAATAACAATATTCAATATCACAATGTCTAAAATACACCTTCTTATGACTTAGTCACTTCCAATGCGTCATAAGAATAGTTTATCCCATACACAATGTTTTGCCTCACTTTTCAGCTTGGCTCTTTGAGATTTGGAGGAGGATGGGGCAATAGCATAAACAACTAAATAGTTAACAATGTCAACAAACCAAGGTGCATGATACTTACCTTTTACAATGGTCAAAGCTAGTAAGACTTCATTACGAAATTCGTTTTGGACAGGAATGTCATCTTCTTCCTTTTCAATCCTGCTAAGATGGTTAGTAATTGAGTTATGTTCTCCACTTTTGTCTCGAATCTCAATGTCAAACTCTTGGAGCAATAACATTCATTTAATCAACCTCAATTTAGAATCTTCGTTCTTCATAAGGAACTTTAGTGCAGCATGATCAATATAAACGATTACTTGAGAACCAAGTATGTACAATCTAATTTATTTAAGGCAACAATAGCTAATAATTCCTTCTCAATGGTGGTGAAGTTAGTTTGTGCAATGTCCTATGTCATGGAAGCATGATATATCACATGTGGCATCTTCTAATCTCTTTGTGCAAGTATCGCTCCAACCATAAAGTTTGATGAATCACACATCAACTCGAATGGTAATGTCCAATTAGGTGGTTGCATGATAAGAATGGTGGTGAGCGCCCTTTTCAAGGTCTCGAAAGCATCTTTGCACTTCTCTCCAAGGTCAAATGGTATGTCCTTTTAGAGTAAGTAGAAGAGAAGATTAGTTATATTGCTAAAGTTTTGGATAAACCTCCTGTAAAACTTTGCATGTATAAGAAAAGATTGAACCTCTCGTATATAAGAGAGGTAAGGTAATTGCAAAAAATATCAATTTTAGCAGGATCTACAGACATATCATTCCTAGAACAACGTTACTTAAAAATATACCTTGTTCTACCATAAAATGACACTTTTCAAAATTCAAAACAAGATTAGTTTCCTCACATCTCTCCAAAAATTTCGCAAGATTAGCTTAACCATTATCAAAAGATGAACCATAAACGCTAAAATTTAACAACCTCCATCAGCTAAGTGTACGTCATTTTTTAAAAAGAAAAATCTAAAGATGAAAAAAATGTAGAAAAAACATCTAAGAAACTAGAATAAAAATCATTTACTACATCACTTAATAAATTAATACAAAACATCAAATGGTCTTCAATTGGGTGCTTCATGGCTTCCAATACATTAAGCTACACTTTCTTATCTTTTATCTCCATAGTCAATGATCTTGCATACACATCTATCTTGGTACGTGTTGTCATCATGAATGATCTTCTCAAAATATCAGTGGTTAAACTCATTCCTTCATCATCCTTCATGTCCAGGATGTAGAAATTCACAAAAAAAAATTAATTTGTCCATACAGACAAACACATCCTCAAGCACACATGACTATGGTTAATCAATTGACTGATCATACTTTTAGTCTGAAGGGATCCAAGAGAAAGAAAAGTAAAAATTGATAAAGACATTACATTTATAGAAACTCCTAAATCTAACATGGCATTGTCAAACTTAGTACTTCCAATCACACAAGGAACAAGAACACATACTTGGATCCTTAGATTTTTGTGGTATTTCAATAGGTCTCTTAATCAAGCTTGACACTTTTCTTTCCAAGTTAATGACCTCATTATCCCTAACATGGCCTTTATTTGTGCAAAGTTTTTTAAAAAACTTAGCGTATTGTGGAATTTGTCTTACAACATCTAGTAAAGGGATGTTTACCTCCACCTTTCTGAAAGTATTCAAGATTTCTTTGTCTAATCCTTTATTTTCTTGTTTTTCGGTTTCAAATTATAAGTTATTTGATGTCTTTCATTCTATAAGCTCTTTAGTATCTCGTGGCAATTTGTCTAGGAAAGATCCTCTACTTACAACATTTTCTCATTTCCTGTATGACGAATTCAAGTCTTCATAAAAGTATTGAATGCATACACGTTCTTGTATTTGATGTTGAGGACAAGATGCATAGAGTTTTTTGGATCTCCCTTAATACCCATGTTGTAATTTGAGATAATATCTTTATAATCTTCCTAATTAGAGGAAATAGATATATAATCTTTATTTTATTTTACTTTTCTAGTTTCCCTATTTCCCTTTATTTTACTTTCCTAGTTTCCCTATTTCCCTTTTTAGGAGAATTAGATTATTACAAATACAAAGTATCAGAATGTATTTTTTATGATTAAGAATAATAAATCAGTCTTATTGTCCACATGGTATCAGAGCTTGTCTGATCTACTTCCGCTGTCTTTGTTGTCCGTCAGCGGCCGATAGCCATGGCCGCCGACGGCCCCCTAAAAATCTCTTTTTTAACCTGTACCGTTGTACCTTCAATGGACAGTCCTACTCCAGTTTATGTAGCCAAGTTTATTGATAAGCTATCGTTGAAGCTATCAAATTAATACTACTTTTCAAGGCAACTTCAGTATTGCCAAGTAGTATTCAATAAAGTAGATAGGGTTAAAGTAACCCTGAGTCGTCTCCCAACGAACACGGAATTGCTTTTGAATATCTGATTCTTATGAATGCAATGCTTATGAATAAAAGTAATGGTTTAAGAATGTTTAAAGAACAAATAAGAAAAACAATTACAATGAAATAGGCTAATTCCACTACTTTTCCAAGATAGATTCATCATCGGTTATTCATGGATAATTGTTCAATTGATTATTGTTTAAGTTTCAAATTAATTAAAATACATTCTTAATTAATTTGAGGGCGATCATGCATTTAACCAAAGTAAATTCTCAATCAAATGCAAAACCTTTCTAGATTATTCACAATAAATTTAACCAAAGTACATTCTCAATTGATAGTAAAAACCATTTAATCATATGAAAGTTCCTAAATTAAATCAAAGTAAATTCTCAATTAAATCTAGAAACCCTAGAACTCATATAATCAATATGCATGTAGATTCAAACACATTATGATGCAAAAATCTTTACTTTTAACAAGATAGAGAGATGAAAGACATAGAGAGAACAACTTAAATCAATAATCAAAGTAAACAATTGCATTAACTGAACGTAACCTCAGAATCCGTCATGGAATTAGAGCAGAATAGCCCCAGATGCTTAGCTCTTCATGAATGGAGTTAAATACAAGATGAAAGAAAAGTGAGAGGAGTATGAGAGAATGAATGAATTAAGTGCAGTCCCCTTTTTCTGCCTCCCTTGGGTCTCTTTATATAGGCTTGATTGGGCTTGGACTCTAAATAGTTTGTTGATAAGATATTTTCTGTTGATATATTATATCTTTCAAATATTCATTAGATTAAATCAGTTTTAAAGAATATTTGATAGATATTAACTCAATTATCTTATATCCTATATCTTCCAAATAACTAAAAGATTTAGATAATGATAAAATTATTTGGAAGATATTTTCTGTTGATATTCCCAAATTAAATTCAACAACTGAATTTTATCTTTTAGATTTTCTGACTTTCCAAAATTGCACGAATGCCCTGAAATTTCTTCTATCTGCACTTTAGCCCATTCTGAATTTTCCAAATAAAATCTGATTTTGGGCCTTGAATTGCCATTTGGACTAATAAAACTTTTATTCTCAGCTGCACAAATAAACATTAGAACATCCAAGAATAATTTATGCGCTAAAACTCACTTTTTACCTCTCTTTATTTCCCAAACCCAACAATTCCAATCATCACAAATTCACTTAAAATCAACCATTTAAGCACAATTATCCCATCAAAAATTTGAATTTTAAAGCATAAATGTGGGCATAAGTATGCACTCATCATTTATGCTTATGATCCTTAGATCAATTGAGTGTCCTTTACAAGAGCCACCTAGAATCTTCATGACCAACAACAAGTTGGTTTCCTCTGATAACAGCTAAAGAAGTTGTTCTTCCATACTTTGGCCTAGTAAAATTAGAATGGGTCCTTCTCTAATGCCTAAACATTGGCATTCTCATTGGCTTCCATTCATATGCACTAAGAATCAAAGAGACCTAAAGTCTTATGGGAACCCGAGAAAGGCAACTGCCTCCATTGAACCAGTCGTCGCCAGCCGCAACCCAATTGATCTTCACTGTCGATCACCGCTGGCCACCGTCCGCTGCAGGCCACTGTCGCAGTTTCGACCGGTGACCAGTGGATCTGGATCGTCTCTTCGAGTGCGACCTAACCCTGGTGGTCGACGTCTCAGACTCCTCCGTACGCGCCGTCACACACCTCCTATCTCTATCGGATCTCGTTTGCGTGTTTGTCACGCGCCGCTGTCTCAGTGTCGGAATCACACCACGACGCTTCCGGTCGACTCGCCGGATCTCCTCCTCTCTGTTCTGACGCCTCCATAGT